TGTTTTTCTGTCAATATGGGGTGCTGTGTGTACATTAATGAGGAAAAAAAATTAACTTAAATGATTTTAGCAAATGGCTGCAATATAACAAAGAGTGAAAAATTTAAGGGGGTCTGAATACTTTCCGTACCCACTGTACACATACAATATGCAAACAAAAACCTTTATTTTGGATGTGATTAATCGCGATTAATCGTTGCCCAGCTCTACTTTGTATATATTAAAATATTTTGCAGTAAACTCGTAAATATGTTTGTATCATTGTATCATATCACATTTATATTCAGTAGATTTGTAGTGTACTGTAGTTTCATCATCCGCAAAAATTGTAATGTTGGGATGTCATTGGTCTTTATTGAAGAAATGTGCTAAAATCTTTATGAAGCATTGATTTGTTCGTTGTTCTTGTGAATGGAATTGATAATCAGTGACATTATGGCAATTCATGGCATACTAATAATAATAAAAATAATAACACATAGCACTACAGCCGGTCACATGTGCCACAACTTCATAATAATCATTACTTCTATTTGTCTTCTGTGCTTATTTAGCTCAAATAGCTAGTACTTGTACTAAAAGTCGAGTCAAGTCACCTTTATTTATATAGCGCTTTTAACAATACAGATTGTGTCAAAGCAACTGAACAGCATTAATTAGGAAAATAAATTCACTTGACGGTAAAAAAGCCTCATAAAAACTGGCAAGAACGCCCACAACAGAAAATGAATGAAAAATTAATTTTCCAAGTCTATGAAGCCTCCTCCTATAAAACTATATAATATTTTAGAAAAAAACAGCACAAATAAATTAATGTTCACCTTTTATCAAACTATAGGCTGACATACACTACCAGTCAAAAGTTTCTGAAAAGTAAGATTTTTAATGTTTTTTAAAGAAGTCTCTTCTGCTCACCAAGCCTGCATTTATTTGATCAGAAATACAGCAAAAACAGTAACATTTTGAATTATTTTTACTATTTAAAATAACTGTTTTCTATATAAATATATTTTAAATTGTAAATTATTCCTGTGATTTCAAAGCTGTATTTTCAGCATCATTACTCCAGTCTTCAGTGTCACATGATCTTCAGAAATCATTCTAATATTCTGATTTGCTGCTCAGAAAACATTTATTATTATGTTGAAAACAGCGTAGAATTATTTCAGGTTTCTTTGATGAATAGAAAGTTCAGAAGAACAGAATTTATCTGAAATAGAAATCTTTTGTAACATTATAATCTTTTTGATCAATTGCTAAATAAAAGTATTATAAATAAAATAAAATTGCAGCACTAAATAAAATTTCTATAATTTCTTTCCCAAAAAAAAATGTATACTGACTCCAAGTTTTTGAATGGTATAGTGTATAATGTTACAAAAGCTTTTTATTTCAGATAAATGCTGATCTTTGGATTTTTCTATTCATCAAAGAATCCTGAAAAAATATATTCTCAACTGTTTTAAATATTGATAATCAGCAAATCAGCATATTAGAGTGATTTCTGAAGATTTAAAATAACTGCTTTCAAATAGAAAGCAGTTATTTTAAATAGTAAAAATAATTCAAAATGTTACTGTTTTTGCTGTATTTGGATCAAATAAATGCAGGCTTGGTGAGCAGAAGAGAATTCTTTAAAAACATTAAAAATCTTACTGTTCAGAAACTTTAGACTGATAGTGTTGGCTGATTATAATTATAGATTGAAACAAATGTGCTTCAGCCAGGATAAAGAGTATGAAATGTGCTCTGAATTGTTGCAGAAAACAAAACAAAAAAGCTACAACAAAAACATGTTGCTGGAGACGGGCTTATTGAAAATGCAAACTGCTTGTCTGCCAGCAGGAGGCGCTGTGAGAGCGGTAGAGCTAGCGGTTTCCCCGGTAACGGCTGATTGCAATTGCTAACGTTGCTAATTGAACGTGGAAACTGCTCCCGAGTAGAATTAATATCATACCTTCATGCAAATCCTTCCAGCTAGCACACGCAGTACCAGTTATGTGATTTATCAGTACTGTACTGTACTGTACATTTATTGCATGCTGGTAGTTTCTGCACTGTAGTGACGTGATACACAGCATGGCTATAGAAGAGTGCGCGCTACGAGCACGGTATAACATCTGGCAGGACAGGATAGTTCGCTTTTCTGAGCTGAGAGACTTTTTATTTCATAACAAGTTACGAAAATAATGATAGAGTAATGACACTGACATTAAGCCTGTCAACATCTCATCTGACCGCAGATACTGAATGGGGACAGCGTGTTTTTCTCAGGCGCTCTTTACTTAAACTGCGTCTGACAGAAGTGTCAACAGCTTCATGCACGTCTTTTAAAATAAAAGTCTCGCATCAGAAAAACTGATAGAATTACGTTTTTTTGTTGTTGATGTCGTTTCTTTGGCCGTACACTCTGCGACCCACCAGTTGAGAAACACTGGATAGATGACACGAATCCATGGCATCTGTTCAGTGTTTGTAGTGCTTATTGTTTGCAGTGAGGTTATAGCACACAGTTCTCAGTGTTGTTGTCCTGCACTGCAGACCCAGCGAAACCACATTTCACTCTACACTTGTGCACAGCTGGAATGACAATAAACTTGATTCATGTGGAAAGAGAGGCAAACAAACTCTCTCTCAGTCTCTCTCTCTCTTATATACACACACACACACACACACACACACATCTTGTGGAAATACCTTTTTGCTGCCAGCATTATCAGTTACTCTTCATAGGTCAGTCAATAATCATTGCGCTGTTAAATGTTTCTCTTCTGTGGTGCACTAAAATCATTGACTGAATAGAGTTATGATGGTTCAATAATGAACGTTTTGTTCAAGAGATCAGCTCATTTGCAACAGTATGAGGCTAAAAAAGTTTTATTACAGCAGCTCTATTAAAGAGAAGAGATAGAGAACTAAACACAGGAAATGGCACAAACTTGAGACAATATTGAGAAGCTGCTCTTCTGTGGAGCTGTTTGAGGATGTATGGGTTTACTTTGATATACTTTGGAGACAGAATCGTCTCTGGAATTGAGCTAAAACTGGCAAACCCCATCTTTGGGCATGGCCTGGAAAGATAACAATGATTTCTAAATGTTTTAATTATTATTTAAGGTTGGGGTTAATCTCAGCCACAAATGGCAAAAGTTGTTACTAGTAGGGCTGTCAAAAAAAAATTCGAATTTCGAATATTCGTCGAATAAAAAAAAATCCACATTTAAGGTCTGCGGCAGGTGTCAGGCAGCCTTATCAGTGGCGCACGAGATGCGATGACGATGTATGTGTCATTGATTGAATGCTTTTGTTAGTCTATCCAGTTGAACCCACTAGATGCGGCGCTGCTACGTTGTTCATTCATATATTGCAGAAAACGAGAGCATCAGTGTGGCGAAGATGTTGTTTATGGCGAAACTGAAACCAAGCCGTTCACACAGAACACATATTTATCGCATTTTCAAGAGAGGCATCTATCAGCGTTGCACTCGTGTCTCGCACAAGAGAGCCGCATGTTTAGAAAGCCATGTAAAATTAATGCAAGTTCAACTTTTAAAAAACATGTCTTGAGACTTTATGGCGGTTTTTCCCCATCCCACTGCATCTCATGCTTTTAAATGAAGAAGTACTCTTTGTGATTGGTTTTCGGTCCTTTGTATTAAACTATACATACATGCATGTCATGGTGCTGTTTTTTTTCTAATTGTTTAAGCAAATTTATTAATTATATATGGTTTATAAACATTATTTTAAACATTATGCACTTTTTTTCAAAGATAGTTGTGTTATTTTATTACGCTTTGAAGAAACGTGCATTAGTAATATTTTGCTCGATGCGCCCTCTTGTGGCCTCAGGAGAGAAGCCAAAAGCTATTCTTCACCCTAACTGAAACTATGCATTTTAAATTAGAATATAATTAGAATATTGATCATATTTAAGTACAAAATTCAAATTTAGTTTTCCAGTCATTTTGACAGCCCTAGTCACTAGTCTGATTGACGCTTTGTACACCATCTGGGTGTCAGGATCCGCTTTCGTTTGAGGTTCTTAGTATTTAGTTAAGTTTGTTTCTGTTATATCTGAAAAATCTGTTCTTATTATATTTGGACAGGTCTACACACCCTTCTGTTATTTTAGTGTTTTCTATGCAACCGTTCACAGAGACTGCCACAGCATGATTTGATTGATGGCCATCTGTCATTAGCTTGAAGAAGATGCAGTGTGGACCAGACTTTAGACCAATAGCCGAAAATCTGACTGCTTTAAACTAGTTGAGGATTTGTCTGTAGTCTTTCTAATGAACACGTTTTCAGCCTATGATCATGCCTTGTTTAGATGAGATGGCATTAGATAAACGTGTGTTGTATGGTCCTGCAGATGAGCTCTAGGATGTCAACAGTGAAACTTGTTATTCTGGTCCCAGACGTTTTATTTCCCAAACACAGCTCACATGAACACAGCTGCGCATTTCCAGAATAATGTCCTACTGGCCTACAGTCCTAACTATATATCAGTTATTAAACTGATTTACGTCTCATCAAGTACACTGTGACACATTTCAGATCGCTTTGAGCCAAAAGTGAGTGAGTCAGATGTTCATTTAATAAGTCTTGAGTGATTCAGCGAGTGAGTGACCTGTGTTGTTATATCAATGATTCGGACCATCATTTTTGAAAAGAACCAGCTCATAAGAACTCTAAAACACAATACAATGCAATGCATAATTCACAATAAATGTAGAACAACCAATATGGTTAATTCATGTCATCACGGTTCATTCACTGAAAAAAAAACAAAAAAAATCAAGAAGTAAAATTTACTTAATTTTTATTTTACTTAATTTCATATTTTTAAGTGAAATTTGAGTATGGAATTAAGTTAAAATCTACTTAACTAAGTTATGTAAAATTAGCAAAGGAAATAAGTAAATTTAACATGACCAGTTAGAGTTTGATTAGTCATTTCTACTTAATTATATACTCAATATACATTTCACTTAGTCACGGTTTGTAAACTTTACTCAAACAACATAGCACTGAAAAAAAGATGCCATTAAAGCATGTGGTTCACTTACAATCACGAATGTAAGCAAGTAGACAGCTCCTTATTCTTTTTAGGGTAATATGTTTACTCAATATAGTTATTAACTGAATGAACACAGAGACCTGAATACTTGACACATGATACACAAAGACGGTAACGATCAGTGAATAGTGTTTGAGTATGAATGGGTCATTTTGAATAAAAAATGAACTCCAGATGTCACAAAACAGCAAGTTACTTAACCTAACAACAAAAGCAACCATAAAACAGTGAACACAGCAAATAAATGTACCTTAATTATTCATGCCCAAGTGCATGATGGGAACAACGGGTGACTTTGATATTTACTTAAACAATCTTTGTAAAAATAACAAACAATTCCAAGTAAAATATACTTATAAGTTCAAAATTTAAATTCTACAAGCTTAAATTGAGTACTAATATTGAATTTACTCTTTTTTTTTCTTTTTTTATTCTTGCTAATTAAATAACTAAATTATTTAATGTAGAAATTACATTTGTTTTTCTGTAGTATTTGCTTTGCTACAAAATCATTTTAATCAGTGTTGGGACCAATTTTAATGGACTTTTCTGAGAGTGTTTAGTTGAGACTGTGAACTCCTGACTGCATCACTTTACTTCTGCACTGACAAAATGTCACGGAAATCATTCCAATGCATTTTATTATTAAATGGAACCATTTCTCAATTCCCAGCCCAGAGTGTTATTGTCATGGTTGTGTGTGTAAGTGTGAGTGTTTTGTTTTGTTTTGTTTTGTTTTGTTTTGTTAGGAATCAAGGTCAGTACTATGAGCAGATTGGTGACATGGCAGCCAATTAGATTGACTCGCAGATGCGCTTCCTCACACACTCACAAACACAAACACAAACACGCACTCGCACACACACACACACACACACACACACACACACAAAGGGTGGAGGTGTAATCTACTCTAATGCAGAGCTGCTGAATCCTGTTTGGCATCAGCTTAAACCATTGCACACACTTCAAAACACGGCTAATCTCCTCACGAACCAGCTGTTTCTCTGTCCTCTCTGGAGCACTGGAATGTGACTGGTCAGTCTTGGCATTCAGCGGGTCAGATATTTTTATATAATGATGCTAATCTGTTGTCCCTAGCTGGATTTCCTACATAACTGTTCTAGTTTCATGTCTCTCCTGTTGCATTGTGCTCTCTTTCTCCTCATATAATGAAATAATTTACACTCGGATCAATCGTTCATGTGTGTATATACTGATTTGGTAAATGAGCAGCTGTGTAATGAGAAGCGTGATGCACAGTCACTGCAATAAACAAGATACGAGATCACGATGCAATCCTTGTGTTTCCTGGTGTTTACTCTCAGAAAAAAAGGTGAGAAAGCTCAGTCCCGCTGACAGCTTTTGAATTTTTTTTCTGAGAGTGTAGGAAAACGGATTTAAAAGTAAAATGTTGTGTCTAAGTTCCTGAAATCCAAGTATTGAATGAGTCCTAGTGGTACTGGATTCCCGTTTCTCACACTGTGGGTGTCACACGGAGCTGATCGTCTTGGTGTTTGTTCGTGTTCCTCCAGAGCGACGGAGATGATCTTGGCTCGAGCGCGACAGCTGGCTGATGTTAAGAAGGAAGATGGGTTCTCTGCTCTGCATCTGGCCGCCTTGAACAACCACCGAGATGTAGCTGAGATTCTCCTCAAAGAGGTGTGAGAGATTGACCTCAGAATTAACTCCAAGAATACTGTCTGCTTAAAACATGGGAAAAATACATGTACAGTCATACACTTACAATGGATGTCGAAGAAGAAAGTGTACAGCAAATTACAGAATTGTTTTGAAAGTATAACAATAATGCTTCAACAAGTCTAATAATCTGATCTAATGAATCACTTACCAATCTTTATAAAGTTATATCCAGACTCTTGTCCCAACAATAATAAAAAAATAGATTTTACAAACTCTACCACGTGAATTACATTTATCAGAAATGTAGTCCCACCTGAAAAGGATCATTTAAACAACTTTACTTTTGTTACTGAATTTTAGTTGAGATCACTTGCCCAATAAACTCTCAGTATATACATAGACACACACTATAAGTTATTTTTTGTGTTAATGCCACAGTTGTTTTCAATGACTATGTTATTATGTGACAACCTGGTTATTTTAAGAGCTTTATTTAAACCCCCTAACTTGAACAACATTCATACCCTCACTTTTTGCCCTGTGTGTTGTGTTTAGTGTGAGCAATACAATATTTGATTAGCTGAGTTTGCTGCCATCTGGTGGCTGGTGGGTTTATATGCGTTTATTAAATTGGAATGTTTTGTAGGTATTTGAAGCTGAAAAAAAATAAATGTAGTCCCAGGAGGTTTTGAATAGTTTAGATAATGTGTTTTTTCTGTGTTTCAGAATGTTGATGATATTTTTATATACACATTCAAACTGCAATAACACAAACAGAATTAATCAGTTGGCGCAATTTATTTTTGCCTACAAAATATAAGCAGATGCCTTTAAATCAAAACATATTTAAAGGGATAGTTCACCCCAAAATGAAAATTCTGTCATTAATTACTCACCCTCACGTCGTTCCAAACCCGTAAGACCTTCGTTCATCTTCGGAACACAAATGAAGATATTTTTGATGAAATCTGAGAGCTCTCTGACCCTCCATAGACAGCAAGGATACTAACACGATCAAGACACAGAAACGTAGCAAGGAGATCGGTAAAATCCATGTGACATCAGGGGTTCAACCGTAATATTACAAAGCAGCGAGAATACGTTTTGTGTGCAAAGAAAACAATAATAACAATGTATTCAACAATTCTTCTCCCCGAGTTACTTTAACAAAAAGTATTCTCTTAGCTTCGTATAATTACGGTTGAACCCCTGATGTCACATGGATTATTTTTCCTTGCTACATTTCTGTGTCTTGATCGTGTTAGTATCCTTGCTGTCTATGGGAGGGTCAGAGAGCTCTCAGATTCCATCAAAAATATCTTAATTTGTGTTCCGAAGATGAACGAAGGTCTTACGGGTGTGGAACGACATGAGGGTGAGTAATTAATGACAGAATTTTCATTTTGGGGTGAACTATCCCTTTAAGCTCAGTTCAGTATGTCAAACTTTTGCCCAGCAGTGTATTTGTAACCTGCCCTAATCCTGCCCTCTTTGGCTTTAAGGGTCGCTGTGACATCAACATCCGCAACAATCGCAATCAGACGCCACTGCAGCTGGCTGTGACTCAGGGTCATGTGGCTCTAGTGGCCCTGCTGGTGACGGAGGGGGCAGACGTCAACGCAGAGGATGAGGATGGAGACACAGCCATGCACACGGCTCTCAGCCGCCAGCAGCTGGCCACCGTCATGAGCAGCGGCGAGGGCGAAGGAGCGCTGCTCTACAGAAGGGTAAGAGCCGTGGACAGAGTGACTGAGAAAAAACATCCAGTGCAATACTAGAATACTGCACACTGCATACTGCATGGTATACCCTAGAAAAAAAATTCATACTAAGTATACTTCAAATCCATTAACATATTTATTGACATATCACTTAAGACTTGCTGATAAAAAAATATATATTTAAACTTTATTTGGATCATTTCTTTTTTGCACAATGCAGAATTCTTAATATGTGACCCTGGACCACAAAATGTATTTGTAGTATACTTGGCACAAAGTAAATGTATTTCAAATACATTTTAGTATTTTGTTTTTCACTAGGTTATTTTATTTGTGTCACAATCAACTGGGTGATATCTTATTTCATGGTATAAGTAATTATTAAGTCCAAAGAAACAAATGATAAGAAATATGACAGATAAATACAATAGAACAAAGACACAAATGAAACAATGAGTGTGTTTGCATGCACCCTCTTAATGCAATTATAATGAGATTTGCCGGGTTTCCATCCAAAGTTGCGAATTTAACTTATGCGCAAAACTGGAATATCGCATAAAACATTTGCGAACAAGCATCGTTTCCATCCAACAAGTAAAAGAGAACAAAATCGTCACTTCCTAATAAACTGGCACTATAAATCACTAAGAAAAGTAGGAGAATATAATAATTTTCATATATACTAAATTACTTGCACCTCAGTGCGAGAAGACTCATGCTGTGGAATGAGATCGGTCCGCTGGTTAGTCAGCTTATGACGTCCCATAGCGCAAAGTCACATGACTTTTTTTTGACGCGCTTGGAGGAATTTATTCGCAAAATGCATTTCCATCTCCCATTATTCGCATTAACCCTTTTTCGCACAAGTCAAAATCCACCTCAAGCGAGCGTAAAAACTTTTTTGCGAATTAAGGCATTTTTATTCGAAATTCAGCGTTCAGCTATTTTGGCAATATTGCGATTAAACTTTACCTCATGTAAACACAATACTTTGATCTAAATAATGTGATTTTGCTCATAATCGCAGCAAGCATAATCATATTAACATAGGTGGTGTACGCCTATTTTAATCAAAATATGCAGGCATGTAAACACCTTAATCGCAGTATTGCCGCTCTGACCAAAGTGCACATGTGCTTGTGATGTAAAGAAAAACGTGACACGCACCTGCAGAAATACAGTTGCTCTGCTCGTGTTCATCAGGAGTTCTCTTTTCACAGCAGTTTAGTACATTGGATGTTGGTTTATTTCGAGTCAGTGTCAGGAGTGTCAGGATATCAGGAGTTTCAGGCACGCAAAAAAAGTGAATAACTTAAGTAATTTGTGTATTAGTGCTTACTGTAGACGCGAACCGTTTCAAACGATTCAGTCCGATTTGGTGAACAGGTTCGACCAGTTCACTAGGAAGAACCAGTTAAATAGAACGATTTGTTCGCAAACCGGACATCACTAATACGCAGATTGGAAACGATGGCGGGGAAGAAAGCATCGCATTTCTGGGGAACCGAGGAAACAGAGTTCAAGTTGTCGACGTAAATAAATTAAAACAGCGGCCATTTAACACACCTATACTCTTTCTTAATCCATCATTTGTGCTGTGCAGTGGCGTATGTGAATAATGGCAGTAAAAAAATAGCCACAATTCTTAGCGAATAATACAAATAATGGAAATTGCATGTAAACGGAGCTTTACTCATGACATGTAAACATCATAATGTGATTAAGTCCTTGCTCTGATTCTCGGAAATAATCGCATTATTCGTGCGCATGTAAACGTAGTCATTGTCACTAATCACTAGAAGGGCTGTTCCAAAGTGGGACCTATCCATGGTTCCTGGAGACTTTGTTTCAACAGCCTTTTGAGCTTCTGTCTTTAAGACAGCCTTGCTTCTGGCCATGGCTTCAACCAAATTTGTCAGTAGGCGCGTTTCCATTACAGATTTTCGCAAAACTTTGGAGAAATTTTATAAATGTCGATAAAAAGGTATTGCGAATTGTTATGCGACTAAAACGTAACTTTTTCTCTCGCGATAAGTCATGGCAACGGATTTTGGTGGGATTTTGATGGATTTTGGCTATATTTATTCGAAGGAGGCATATGCATGTATCTTTACTGAAGCAGCGCGGAGAGCCGCTTCAGAAACATGCGTGGCGCGACTGGTATAAACACAAGCATTGACTAGAGTGGCCGCAATCTGCTTCAGTGGCCGAATCAGAGCCACACTGCACCGCAAACATGTGCAGTGTAAATTGTCCAAGCATTAATGGCAGGGAAAGCCACGTATGAAGTGTTTCTTGGATGTTATAGTGCATTGAAGAACGATCATATGACTTTTTACATACGCCATGTGACCTGTAAATGCGAAAAAAACGTCTCCATTGCAGTTCTGCGAAATATTCCATTTTCGAATTGCCTGAAAAACCACTTCATGCAAGTGTAAAAACTTTTTTGCGATATATGGGGGTTTTTGCGAAATTGGCGCATTTCCATTAGGCGTATTTTCAATTAGCAATTTTCATTTGTGCAATTCGAAGGGTAATGGAAATGCAGCTAGTGATTTGCATTGTACTCTCTGTTTATTCCTTGTGCACTACATTCTCTTTCGGTGCAGATACGGTTTTTCTTAGGCCCAACCTGACACTAATGCCTAAGTGCTTCCCAGCATGCACACGTAAGGTCATCGAGCTTTCCTCTTTCTACCCACCACCTTTCTCCTTTGTGCAGGATCAGAGGTTGAATGCTCTATGTCCTCTGCATACACTGTGAAGGGTTTAAATGGATAGCTCTATCATTGGCAAATTAATATAAGCGAGTTGCTTCAGAGTACACTCTACCAGGGGCATGGCTACCTCTTGGGCTCTGTTTAGAAGAGTTTCATTGCAGGAAATTACAAGCTGGGTTTGTCAGACACTACTGGTTTGATGTTCATTCTGTCCTGGAGTATATAGCCTTGTTCTCTTAAGCAATCAATTCCTCCCCAAGCCTGGGCTGTCAAACTCTGCTTATTCATGTCACTAAGTCTTTATAACTTTGCGTGGCACCATTTTCATTACTATGTGGGTTGCCGGGTTTAATTATGTATGTGTATTACTACATGCCATTCACACTCTATCTCCACCCATGTAGCACTATCATCTTTGTGTAATGTTACCAGACTTTGTCTTTGCAGGTGACTGACCCCTTGCTTTCAGGGCCTCTCTGTGAATGTATTGGTCAACCAAGAGCTGTCCATAGGACCCATAATTGGATCTTAAACACAAGATAAAAGATGAAAACAATAGGTTACTGCTTGTAACCACGGTTCTCTGAAACATAGAGTGGAGAGATCCACCAAGATTGCTGCATGAGATGCAAACAAGCTCACTGAAAAAAGGTAGTTTGTGGAGGTCCTGTTATGTGCACATGGTCCTATACCTGGAATTAGGCACATGCCCATGTCTGTCAAGCCAGACTTGGTGTCATTTGATGCTTCTGCAGAGGTCAGGTACGGATGCTCTTCCCATCGGTGGATCTCTCATTTCCTTGTTCCAGAGAATCAGGGTTACTAATGTTAAACCATTGTTTCTTACTGTAGTACACTACATTACTGCCTTGTGAGCTCACTGTTGCACGCTTAAAGATGCAGTAAGGGATTTCTGAGAAACACTGTTGAAAGTGGTAATTGTTGATAAAAGTAATGATTCATAAAAGAAGATAAAAAACCACAGTTGCTTTCGCTTCTGGTGCATTTGTCACTCTTGAAATGGAAGGCCAATCAACCACTGCATTGTGGGACACAGTATTCCACGCAGTGTTCTCTGCGGTCTGCTGCATGCTAAGCATTTTGGTAAATGTAGTAGGTCAGCTATGTGTTTCATGTAAAAATTCACATACTGTGCAGAAATAATAGAAGCCTTGCACACCAGAGTAGCGTTGTCCTGTTTTCCAGTGTATATGTGTGCTGCTGTACAGTATAATTAAGAGAGAGGTAATCAGTGGTGTTTATTCCTTCCTTCCTTTGCATGTAGCTGTGTAGCTCAGGGCTGATGGGAAACACGGAGCTGAACGTAGGAGCTGCTATCGCTTGCTTCTTGGCACAGGAAGGGGCCGATATCAGTTATGCCAACCATAAAGGTAAAAGCCCACTGAACCTGGTTGCAGACAGCAGCGTACAAACTCTCATCAGGAGCTTCGCAGAAAAACACAGGTGTGTCTCAGTGTATTGATTGTGGCGCTCACTAAAAGAGGGATTAAAGAATGAACAGATGTGATCTTGTGTGTTCAGGCTTCAAGCCGTCACGTGTGGCACGGGCACGAGCAGCAGCAGTCTCAGGCGAGTGCACACTACACCCAACACCATGACCAACCTGGCCATGCCCAGCGCGACGGGCCCCAGCGAGTGCCTGATCTGCTCCGAGCTCGCACTGCTGGTGCTGTTCTCTCCATGTCAACACAGCGTCGCCTGTGAGGGTGAGCTTACTGATCGATGAACAAACAAGTCCCGACCTTTGTTGTTGTTTGATCAAAACGTAGTTTCACTCAGAAATACATCACAATACCCTCCTGAGAACCTGGGAAAAGAGCTTTTTGTTTTTTTCATGTCATTACATTGTTTAGAGCATAAGAAAAAAATGGAAATTAACATTTTTTTTGGAAAATGATATTTTATTCATATGTTATGCTATGTCCTCTGTAGAGGACACCAGGACTCAGTTTCTCTAAAAATAAAATGACTTGAATAGACATGAAAAGGCAAAAACAATGAGGTTTTTTTTTTAAATCACCAATCAATTTTTAGGTTTCAGGATTTTTTATACCAAACTTTAAGGATGATTCTCAACTATGTTATGAAATATATAACTGAAAAGATTTGATATAGCATTTTGCTTTATGCAATATGTGTGTAAAAATACCATAAACTGGTTTTCCCATTAAACACAATGTTATCTATACATTGCATCTAATTTGCATGTTAATGTGCTGTTGGGACAGCTTGTTGAAAAAAGAAGTGTACTAATGGGAGTAGTAATTGGCCAGATTTTCATAATAACATCTAATTAGGACTGCACGATAAATCGCATGCGATATTAATGCGCATCTTGTCAGTAAAGCCGGTTCTGTAATCAGCAGTAAATCTCCATCACGTGCGTGCTTTCAATCATATATGAACATGGTTTAGCGCAGCTCGTCAGTGAACAACAGCTCTGTGTAGTCAATGCTGCTCCATGTGAAAGCACGCTAATTACAGAACCGACTTTACTAACAAGATGCGCATTAAATATCGCATGCGATTTATCGTGCAGCCCTACATCTAATATTTCATAAGAATATTGATATATATTTTGTTTTCCTATTCAATTGTTTTGTCTCCCAAAATGTGTAATAAACATGCTTTTAGGTGTCCTCTTCAGTGGACAAGTATGAAATGATGTTCTGTTTCATAAGAGGAAGTCATATTTTGATTTGAAACCCCTTAACATTTTCCTGAGATTGATCCTGTTGGTTTATGACAAACAATTTGAAAATTAATCAAATTTAAATTATAATTGCAAAATATCATATTTCCATAAGGATGTACAGGATGTAGCACTGCATCGCATGTCTCTGTTGAGAAGAGGAAGGGGTGGTTGTTGCTGGTTACTGTATGATGATTGAAATCATGAAATGGCCTTAAACAATTAATAAATAAACTGCAGAATGTTATGTTTTCTAATACACACATGAATTGCATGTATTCAAACAGCGCTGCACGAGCTCGCGGCGGTAGGGTTCAAAGTCCAAAGCGCAAGGAAAATCTTCGCTGAAACAGAGTTACTCGTCAGCTGCTCAGTAACATTTCTTTTAATTTCTTTAAAGGCATGTGACAATGCGATATGTGCGACAAACATCTTCCCTAATTCGTAATGAGAATCATTTATAAATCTACTGTTGTCAACAAAAAGAAGCACTGAGGTTTTCCTGCGGGTTTCCACCAAAATAAAAGTTGAGAAAAATCAAGAACTCAATCAACATTCATAAATGTTAGTATTGTAATTTTACTATTCTGTAAAATAAAATAAAAAAGTAAGACAATAATAATGATAATAATCATTACAACAGCTCTATTAATACATTTATTAACATCCACACTTGGTGTTCAAATTGGGATCTGTAATATATTCTAATGTTTTAAAAGAAGTCTCTTCTGCTCAGCAAGGCTGCCTTTATTTGTACAGTAAAAAATACAAGCCTGATTCAAAAATGGCCCAAAAATATTTTAATTTTAATTTAAAATGTAATTAATTTTAAGTTAAATTGTGCTTTGTTGGTATGTCTACTAGAATGTTAAAAAATGTTCAGTGTTAAATATTTTTAAATTGTTGTTTTGTAATTGATTTTTTTATTTGAAAAGCAGGACAATACAGTAAAAAGGGCATTTTGGCTATTTAATTCATGCAATGGTGAAAATAAATGGCAAAATACAGTACATGGGGGGGGAACGTGAAAAACCGTATTCGGCCTTCAGCCCAGTGTTTCATTTTGTTTGGCTTTGGCCAAGAATTTTCATTTCGGTGCATCCCTACTGAAAACCC